GATCATGCCTGTCAGCTGAACAAAGGACGTGGAAGGGCCATGACCTTTACAATAATTAGCGAGCTGAAGAGTCCCTCTCATGTCTCATCTAAACCCCCTCTAATCTCTCGCACGGCCTCCTTCCAGGAAATAAGCCTTCTCCCCGCAGTTCCTAAGATCGCTGTACTACTCGCGCATGTTACATACTACACAGCCCCAAGGTTCGAAGAAATTGCCATCTGTTCACAGGGAGGCTTTGCTGCAGCAGTCTCAGTCCCCAGGCAGCTGCAAGAGGAGGTGAGAACTCAGACCAAGCAACTGAGTCACTTGGGAAAGCGGGATAATGTCCCGCCCCTTCACAGTTTGCTGTGGCCTGTGTATTCCCATCCGGTATTACCTACCTGCAGTGCCTCTCCTTGGCCCATGCCCCTGGAAATGGGCACCGTCCCTTCTCCCTTCCTCTGCTTACACAAACACCGCAGCAGAGCTGTCCGAGGTCCCTTGAAAGGGGAGCCCTAAGCCTTCTCTACTCTGACCTATTGCATCATTGCGCCTTGATGCGTCTCATTTTAAATTGTATTTGGTGCAGCACCGTGGTGCAATGCCTGATGTGCATCCAGGACTTGAAAGCTTTCCTCCCAGGCTAGTGGGACGCTGCCAGCGAGAGAGAGAGAGAGAGTGTGTGTGTGTATAACCCTTCCCAGCTCATCTGCTGCTGCTCGCAAGAGAGTCCTGCAACTTCCAGACAGGAGTGGGAAAAGGCCTCCTACATTCACCCAAACCCTCTTCAGGGCCCTGGAGAGGAACTTGAGGTTGCCGAGGCAGTAGCTGGGGGGGGAGGTCCTAGGGTGACCAGAACCAGACGTCTCGATAAAATCGGGACTGTCCCAATTTTTAGGCGTTTGTCCCGCGTCCCGATCAATGTTTGGTCGGGACGCAATTTGTCCCGATATTTCGCACTCCTGGGGTTTTTTTGTTTATTGTTTTGTTTTGTTCCGCTGGCGGGACTCCGTTTTTTTTTTCCCTCTGCTGGCGGGACTCCGCTTTTTTTCTTCTTCTTCTTTTTTTGCTCCGCTGGCGGGATTCCACCCCCCCCCCCCCTTTTTCCCGATTTTTTCTTCATCGCATCTGGTCACCCTAGGGGGGGCACCCCCTGGAACGCCTGGGAGATGCTTTGAGGGTTTGCTGATGTCAGGCATCTTCAACTGCGGTACCTCGGGGGCTGGAGCAAGTGGGGGTGGGGAGGGGTCTTGCAAAGGAGAAAGCCTTTTAGCGCAGCTTAAACAGACCTGTGCTGGAAACCTTGGTGGAAGGCCCACATAGATGGAGCACTGCCTTTGGGGGAGGGAGGGCATGGAAGCAGATTTCCCTGTGATAGGATAATATCGGCAGGGAGGGAGGGTCCAGGGTGACCAGACAGCAAGTGTGAAAAATCGGGACGGGGTGGGGGGTAATAGGAGCCTATATAAGAAAAAGACCCCAAAATCAGGACTGTCCCTATAAAATCAGGACATCTGGTCACCCTAGGTCACCGTGTCTGGTGGCTCGGGGCTCCTCATCAGGGTTCTTGGGAGTCAAAGCAAGGGAAGGGCTCGCACGCTGGTGTGGCTGCTTGCTTGTATTAACAGCCCAGCACTGGCCTGTAACAGAGACAGCTTTCCATCGAGACTGATGTCTCGGAGCTCTAATGCTGGGGCTGCTTGCCGATTGGCAATCCCGCCTCCCTCAGAGACAGCAGCCCTTGCCTGCTGGGTCTCATCCCATCCCGGAGCTGCAGCTGTCTGCATTGATAAGCCTGCTCCGGAATGGGAGCGCTTTAGAAGGTTGGTATTTGGAAGTTTCGGGTGCGTTATCTCTGACTCCGGTGAAACCCCTTCAAAGGAACAGGGAATCATCAACATGTCCAGCAGCTAATGGTATTAGGAACAGTGCTGTCACCCCGCTGAGTGTGAAATTATACTGCCAGCAACGGAAGGGCAGAGCAGACCCTGATTACATCCGAGCCCAAGGGAGAGGGTTCTGTCGCCACACGGGACTGGACTGAAAGTGCCCAGAGACTTTATCTCCTTCCCAATCACTTCTAGACCCTCCTTCCCTCTTCCTCCACCCCCTCCACCTCACATCCTCCACTCACAAGCTCTTGCTTCCTGGGGAATTGCCCTCTGCTCCTTGAACATGTTGTGGATGCCAGTGCAAACATGTATGGCTCAAGGGACCTGTCGCGGGCTGGTTTGGGTGCATGTACAGCTTGGGCAAGAGTGCCCTGCAAGCAGGGGAAAAGGACCCTGGCATAAATGTCACATGGATCCTCATTCCCCTCCCTCCCATCCCCCGTGCGTGTAATTTTTGGAGCCTTCTCTCTCTCTCTCTCTCTCTCTCTCTGTCCACAGGAGTCTCAGCGTTTAAGCTGAATCCTTGGCTAGGTTCACAGGCTCCTCGTCCTGCATGAGCGCTCTCCTATTCCCTGTTAAAATGGACTCTGCCCCATGCTGGCAAGAGAATTGGAGTATTGGAGTATCAGATGCATATCTGATGCATCGCAGCGCCGGGGAAGAGCAGCGGGTTAATGCGTTAGCCTTTTAATCCCGGCCGCCCAGTATAAACTCGAAAGCACTAGCGCGAATGAGCTTCGCCAGTCCACTTCCCTAGCTGACATTTGTCCGCAGTGCCAAACCGCTGCACCGTTCAGCAGAACGCAGCACGACTGGGACCCTCTGCTTAGGAGAGGAGCGTGGCTACAGAAACGCAGGGGATCGGCAGAGCTGGGTGGGGGGGTGAAGGAGGGAGTCGGGGTGCTGTGGGTCAGGATGGATGTT